TCAATTTTTGGAGCATTTTTTCAGACAAGTATTTCGGAGACAATAACAGACGATGTTCTCGAAAAAAAGAGTACGAAACTTATCAGGTAATTTATTCTTTGAATTCTTGTCATAATTTAAATTTTTCAGATAAATAAAAGCATTTTTAATGTCAAGTGCTTGGGAGATATCGCAACGAGAAGGTAATTTTTGTTGAAAAAAAACTGTATTTTTGGAAGTATTGTTTCCAGGAATCAAAAAAAAACAACTGGATGCTAGAAAATTCGAAGAAAGGCAAGAAAGTTAATCAGGTAAATTTCTATTTTCTGAATTAATATCTAATTTTATTCACATTTTTTCTCTTCTCCCGTATTCGTCACGATTCACAGCGACATCTTCAAAATTTAAAAATCTAAATCATGATTTTCTTATTTTTCTGCATTTTTCCCTAATTTTGTTCATTTTCATGTATAATTATTTTTTTTAATAAATAAAATTCTACATAATGTGCTGTTTCTCTATAAAAACATCAATAAACGCGAACCGAACCGGCCCCTGCTGCTAGGAGGCCGGAAGTTGGCCGGTAGTTTGTCGGATCTTGGTCGGCTACCCACAATGTCTTTGCCGGAATCTGACCAAGTTCCGTCCTGAAGCCGACCAGCCTCCGGCCAGAAGTTGCCGGCGACGCCCGAGTAGGTCTGCTTTTCAAAAATTTTCAAAGCGTCGCACACTTGTCAGTCGAGCTCCAGAATTTGGAAAATGGTCGAAATCACCTATAAAAGTGAGGAGCGGTGCGACGAACGAGGCAAAACTTGTTCAATTAGCGGCGAAGGCGCACCAGCTAGCTGTTTGAAACGCAGAGGTGTGGCTAACAGGCTGGCCATATTGAATCAATAAAAAACAAAAGATTGAAAAAGTGCACTCATTTATTTGACAGAAATACTCAAAAAGGCGAGTTTCATGGGTTACGAGGTCGACGTCCGTCACTTATGGTCCAAGGTAGCACGATTGATCGGTACGGGCCTTAAAAACTTGTTGTCCTGGATTGGAGCCTCCTCCGGATCCTTGATTGTTGTTGCTGGCTCCACCACCGGATCCTCCAGATGCGTAGTCCTCACGAGCGTATCCAGACGACGAGGCATTGGATCCCATGTAGCCAGAGCCATATCCACCAGCGCTCATGTAAGCCGATTTGTCCGCCATTTTTGATTTGGATTGGGTTTTTCGGAGCAGAAACTCTGAATACTGGATTTATGGCCGAAACTGAGGGCTTATATGCACAGAGATCTAGGGCAAAGATAAGAGATAAGAGATCTTGGCCCGGTGGAATAGATGGCTTACACGAAAATAATAATATCTGATTTTTTTTTTAATTTTGCATTTTTCCAACTGAGCAAAACAAAGCAAAAAGTCAATAAAATCAAATTTGAACTATAAAAACGAAAAATTTAGGCGAAAATTCATTAATTTCGTTTGATTTTTTAATGAAAATGGTCAAATTCGGATTTTAAAGTAGATTTCGTTGGAAAAGACTAAAGCTTTTCAGACCTGAGTTTCAGTATTCTCGGAATTTTTCGGAATCTCAGAATCTCTAAATTTCAAAATCTCTAAATTTCAGAATTTCAGAATTTCAGAATTTTCAAATTTCAGAATTTCAGAATTTTCAAATTTCTGAATTTCTGAATCTCTAAATTTCAAAATCTCTAAATTTCAGAATTTCAGAATTTCAGAATTTTCAAATTTCAGAATTTCAGAATTTTCAAATTTCTGAATTTCTGAATTTCTGAATTTCAGAATTTCAGAATTTCAAATATTCAGAATTTCAGAATTTCAGAATTTCAGAATTTCAGAATTTCAGAATTTCAGAATTTCAGAATTTCAGAATTTCAGAATTTCAGAATTTCAGAATTTCAGAATTTCAGGATTTCAGAATTTCAGAATTTCAGAATTTCAGAATTTCAGAATTTCAGAATTTCAGAATTTCAGAATTTCAGAATTTCAGAATTTCAGAATTTCAGAATTTCAAATATTCAGAATTTCAGAATTTCAAATATTCAGAATTTCAGAATTTCAGAATTTCAGAATATTCAGAATTTCAGAATTTCAAATATTCAGACATTTCAGAATTTCAGAATTTCAGAATTTCAGAATTTCAGAATTTTAGAATTTCAGAATTTCAGGATTTCAGAATTTCAGAATTTCAGAATTTCAGAATTTCAGAATTTTAGAATTTCAGAATTTCAGGATTTCAGAATTTCAGAATTTCAGAATTTTAGAAATTCAGAATCTCAGAATTTCAGAATCTCAGAATTTCAAATCTCAAAATTTCTGAATTTCTGAATTTCTGAATTTCTGAATTTCTGAATTTCTGAATTTCTGAATTTCTGAATTTCTGAATTTCTGAATTTCTGAATTTCTGAATT